TTGACACTTATTAGCTAGGACCCACAGAAACTCAGATATTTTTGTTTGAATATGGCCACTCTGAGCCTTTGGCTGGCTGGGTCTGTGTGTGTGTGTGTGTGTGTGTGCAGGGGGAGGGGGCTTAACCATTTCACTGCTGTGTGTATGACCTGCATAAAGAAAATACATTTCTCAAGCCTGATATTTTTTAAATAAGTTTTTATTTTTATTTTTTTATAAGTAAAGGCATATAACTAGTTTAATTGTAGTGAATTGACAATAGTTTTATATAATTAGTTTATTAATCAGATTAACTTGGTCAATAAACTTGGTCTGAAAATTTGGTCCATAAATCAAAACACACTTGCATGTAATAATATGAAACTTGGTACACATATAGATCTCATCGTTTCATATATACTTCACACTCTTACTTTTTACCCCAGCCCAACAGGAAGTTGGCTATTTAGGGTTGTGTTTAAAACACATGCAATGTAATTTAAATTATTGCTCCAAGAGCACTGAACCAAATTCGACGAAACTCGATCAGCGTGAAGTCAAGACATTAAGGATGAAAAAGTGCCACGGGATTTTTGATATCTCGAACGGTTTGGCCGTGGCGAGGAAACGAAATTATGGCGAGAAACATGGAACAGGATGTGTGTTATAACTTCAGCATACATTAACTGATCTTGATGAAACTTCAGCAGTGTTTTCGCTGTAAGAGACCGATCACATGGATGTGACTATTGTGAGTCAAAGTTATAGCGCCACCAACTGGCAGCAGGAAGTGTGTCACTTTCAAAATGCCGTGGCAACGAAACAAACTTTAACATTATTTTTTGATGCTTTTGGGACTCTTAGCTTGCTTGAAATTGCTTGAAACTCAACAGATACATCACATTTATTAGCCAATAGACATGTGCAACTATGGCAAAAGATTAAAGTAATGTCAAAAAAGTAAACACTAAAAGCCTCATATCTTCTAAAAATGTAATTATACATCATTTGTTTCTAAATTAAATTATACAAATATTATAACTTCCCCAATTTTTTCCCTTTTTTTTCTTTAAGAATTGTGTTTACGTTCAAAAACAGCCAGAATTGTTGTAAAATTCATAAAAAAATAATAATCTGAGTCATACGTAGTGCTATACTGCCCTCTTGTGTTCAATATCAGGTAGGCCTATTGTGTATATTCCCACCGGTTAATCAACGTGTGACTCCGCTGGGACTTGGGAGCTTTTAAATCGCTTACTTAAAACCGAAAGTCAAAATACGGATGTCCGCACAAGACATTAATGGTGTGGAGTAGAGCGAGCATTTTAAATAAATTCCTATTAAGTAGGATTGAACTAAACAGAAAGAATGTTCACTCTGTTCTGCTGGTTCCTCGCTGGTGGATCATATGATTACTTTGTCATAATCTATGACAAAAATGCTATTATAAACCATATTAATAATAGATAATACACATTGCTCTTATTTTTGAAAAATACATTCATGAAAACAAGATAACAAAAATCATTAAAAAAAAATAAGCCATGGCTGCTATAAAGCAAACATATAATTGAAAGGCAATTAATAATCTGTCATTACGTCACTGCATTATGATATTACGGCTCCAATACGGTGCAGCACAAAGCACTTATGTGCATCCCGAGCGGAGAATGATGTGCTTGAAGCCACATGAAGTTACAGCGCATTGAGTCCGTATTGAAAAGTTCAAAGCACAAAGGAAATACATATTTATGAACAGTGTATTATACATTATCTATCTATGCAATAGTTTATTGAGCCTTTTCTTTTAAAAGGTT